GTCTCTAACTCAATGACTTCAGAGTTTTATTCTTCATAGTGATTCACCAAGTCGGACAGAACTGCTCCCTGGGTTGCATATCTGAGCGTCTCTGAGTCAATGGCAAAACATTTAGCCTCACTGAGATTGGGTCCTCACCCACCAGTTCTGGCTAGTACCAGTGTCATCCAGCTCTGGGGTGAGGGTTGAAGTGAGAGGATGGACCAAATGCACCCAACACAGAGTAGGTGCCCCAGAAATGACGGGCGCTTTCTTCTTAACTCTCCCATCTCTAGTTTTCTCCAAACTAACCAACTTAGTTTCAACTCCCTGTTGAGATTTAATTTTATAAAATCTCTCCCTGCCTAGGTAGCAGCTCTTCTTAGTTTCCAAATTTCTATTAAATCCTCTCATTTTGTTCATTTCTCCCTTGCCCATTACATTCGATTAGTTCCTGAGACCTAAAGAGTCTAGCACTTTAAGGTCACCTTTCTGTTGCTGCATTTCTGGCTCCCCCCCTAGTTTACCCCATTATTACTCATACTAGAGGCACGGTGCACAAAAATTTGTGCACTTGGGGGGTGGGTCCCTTAGCCCGACCTGTGCCCTCACACAGTCTGGGACCCCTCAGGGGATGTCCACCTGTGGACATGGCTTGTGAGTGTAGCGGAGGTACGGACAATTTGCATGTTTCTTTTTTATTAGATAAGATTCCCAATTTTTTTTAAAAAAATATATTTTATTGATTTTTTACAGAGAGGAAGGGAGAGGGATAGAGAGTTAGAAACATCGATGACAGAGAGACATCGATCAGCTGCCTCCTGCACATCTCCCACTGGGGATGTGCCCACAACCAAAGGTACATGCCCTTGACCAGAATTGAACCTGGGACCTTTCAGTCCGCAGGCTGATGCTCTATCCACTGAGCCAAACTGGTTTCGGCAAGATTCCCAATTTTACAGCAACTCCAAAAAGGATGTCCTCCTCATCATCCACTTCCCCGCTATCCTGCATATTGTATTCCCATTAATCTCTTTTAAACAGCATTACTCTTGTTTCCAAAATTTTTCATCTTCCCCATCTACACTAATAAAAGACAAACATGCAAATTGGCCATACCTTCGCTACGCCTTAAGCCATGCCCACCAGCCAATCAGAACTACTATATGCAAATTAACCCAACCACGATGGCGTCCGGCAGTCACGGAGCTGGAGCAAGCAGGAGGCTTGGTTGCCCCAGTGATGGAGGAAGCCAAGCTTCCCGCCTGCCCTGGCTGGCTGTGGGCTCTGCTCAAGGCAACAAAGTTTCAATTATAGAAGATAAATAAATCCCAGATCCCTGCTTCCAGCCAGCCTTAGGTGGCTAGGGGCTGTGGCCATACTGTAAACAGCCATCAGCCCCTCACCCAGGCACCCCTGCAGGGATCCCCACCCTGAAGGGGCTGTGGCCAGCCTGCAAACAGCCATCAGCCCCTCACCCAGGCTGGCCAAGCCCCCCAGCAGGACCCCCCTCCCTGAAGGGGGTGTGGCCAGCCTGAAAAGGGCCCTCAGCCCCTCACCCAGGCTGGCCAAGCCCCCCAGCAGGACCCCCCTCCCGGAAGGGGGTGTGGCCAGCCTGAAAAGGGCCCTCAGCCCCTCACCCAGGCTGGCCAAGCCCCCCAGCAGGACCCCCCTCCCGGAAGGGGGTGTGGCCAGCCTGAAAAGGGCCCTCAGCCCCTCCCCCAGTCTGGCCAGGCTCCCCAATGGGACCCCACCCCTGATCTGGGACACGCTTCAGGGCAAACCAGCCGGCCCCCACCCATGCACCAGGCCTCTATCCTATATAATAAAAGGGTAATATGCAAACTGACCCTAACAGCAGAATGACTAGGAATGACTGGTCACTATGACACAGACTGACCACGAGGGGCAGATGCTCAATGCAGGAGCTGGCCCCTGGTGGTTAGTACGTTCCCACAAGGGTAGTGCTACTCAGCCAGAAGCCCAGAAGCCAGGCTCACGGCTGGCGAGTGCAGCGGCAGTGGCAGGAGCCTCTCCCACCTCTGCTGCAGTGCTAAGGATGTCCGACTGATGGCTCCCAGACTGTGAGAGGGCACAGGCTGGGCTGAGGGCCACCCCAGTGCATGAATCTTGTGCACCGAGCCTCTAGTGTTCTATATAGGATATAGAGAGTTAAAACTTCTTGACTGTTTGACCTACTTTTCCCACCTTCTCTTCTGTTTTTCAAAGGCACTGATCTCCCTACACAGGCTGTTTAGTAAGGACTTATTTGCATGAAATAGGAAACCTGACAACAGTTCCTTAACCAGTGAAATAGTCCAGAACAGGACTCCATGAAGTCATCAAGAACCCAAGTTCTCCTCTCATTAGTTCTCCACCCACAATGCATTACTCATAGCATAGTGGTGGCTGCCTGGTATTTCCATTCCAGGAGGAAGGAACAAGAGGAGGTCTGCTTTTTTTTTTTTAATCCAAGGGTATTTTTCCACTGATTTGTAGAGAGTGGAAGGGAGGGAGGAAGGGGAAGAGAGAGAGAAACATTGATGTGAGAAAGCCACATCAATTGGTTGCCTCCCACACATGCCCTGACCCTGGCCAGGGGAATGAACTTGCAGCCCAGGTAGTTGTCCTTGACCAGGAATTGAACCTGCAACCCTTCAGTGCACAGGCCAGTACTGTAACCACTGAGCAACACCAGCCAAGGCGAGGAGGTCTGATTTTACTTGGAAAGGATTCTTCCTCTCCTCTCCTTTCACTGGGAATGTGAGGAGAGAGCATGGTCTAAGGCAAGGGTGGGCAACCCCTGGCACGTGTGCCAAACATGGCACGCAGTAACTTTTGCTGGC